TGAAAAATATTTTTAAAAATACATTTTCAAATGTAATGTGTATCTTTAAACATACATTTATTCTACATTTCTGAAATGCATTTGCAAGTATATGTATATATTACTTTTTTATATGTTAAAAAAATCTGCAGAATATATTTAAAAAATATATATTTTAAAAAAATTTTTCATATATTTTGTAATATAAAAAAAATGCATTTCAACATACAGTATATATATATATATTGAAAATATATATTGAAATATATTGAATACGGACAAAATTGTAGTATTTCAAAAATATGTCAATATATTTGGGAAGAAACATTTTTAAAATATATTTTAAAATATATTTTTTCTTTCATGTGGGTATGATATTAAAGCCCACTGCAGTGCTGTCACATTTATATACAGCTGGTATAAAACAGTAATAAAAGTTAAACTTCAGAAAGCTGGGCAAACTATAAATTAACATGGAAAGGCAAATAGTTTCTAAAAAGCTGCCAGCATGAAAAAAAAAAACTTTAGCAGAATCCCAGGATCCTACTGTGCAACAGTGTTTTCTTCCTCTCTGGAAACTGTGGAAGTCTGGTCACTTTGTTTTAAGTGAAATGGGAGTAAATAACGGCCCAAAATGACTCTATGCTGTGTAAACCAGAACAATAAATTGGGCTGGAATTCCACTTAAATTGATTTTAGAATAAAACTAAATAGAAGATCAGGAGATAGTTGGAATGCTTCTTGGGTGCTGATATTGTCCCACCTGGAGGCTAGGGGTAAATATTTTTAAAAACATCATGTGATATCAGTTATGTGTTCTTGAAAAAGATGTGACTATTATTACTAGAGATGAGCGAAATCGAACTTGGCGAAGTGGAATTCGTTTCGAAGATTAGGAAAAATTCGCCGAATCCGAAAATTAGCAGACTTCGGATGCGCGAATCGAAATTTTCCAAAAATGGCGGCGACATGTGTGGCGACGGAGCGGGGATCTCTGGGAAGCGCGCGCAGACAAGGCGCGCTGACCCATAATGCATTCATTCATGACATGTGATCGCATTAGCCAATCAGCAGCCAGCCAGCCAGCACTGTGTAATGGTCGAGCTATAAATTGAGGCCATCTTAGAATTCTCCATTAGCCTCCGGTCATTCAAGAAGGGACAGAGTTAGGGCCAAAGAGACTTTAGGGCCACAGAATCGTTACTTAGGGACACAGAATTGTTACTCAGGGACACAGAATGTTACTCGGGGACACAGAACTGTTACTCAGGGACACAGAATTGTTACTCAGAGACAGACAGAATTGTTACTGAGGGACACAGAATTGTTACTGAGGGACACAGAATTGTTACTCAGGGACACAGAATTGTTACTCAGGGACACAGAATTGTTACTCAGGGACACAGAATTGTTACTCAGAATTGTTACGAGGGACACAGAATTGTTACTCAGGGACACAGAATTGTTACTCAGGGACAGACACAGAATTGTTACTGAGGGACACAGAATTGTTACTGAGGGACACAGAATTGTTACACAGGGGACACAGAATTGTTACTCAGGGGGTTACTCAGGGACACAGAATTGTTTACTCAGGGACACAGAATTGTTACTCAGGGACACAGAACTGTTACTCAGGGACACAGAATTGTTACTCAGGGACAGACACAGTTGTTACTGAGGGACACAGAATTGTTACTCAGGGACAGGGACACAGAATTGTTACTCAGGGACAGACACAGAATTGTTACTCAGGGGGACACAGAATTGTTACTGAGGGACACAGAATTGTTACTCAGGGGGACACAGAATTGTTACTCAGGGACACAGAATTGTTACTCAGGGACACAGAACACAGACACAGAATTGTTACTCAGGGACACACAGAATTGTTACTCAGGGACAGGACACAGAATTGTTACTCAGGGACACAGAATTGTTACTGAGGGACACAGAATTGTTACTCAGGGACACAGAATTGTTACTGAGGGACACAGAATTGTTACTCAGGGACACAGAATTGTTACTGAGGGACACAGAATTGTTACTGAGGGACACAGAATTGTTACTGAGGGACACAGAATTGTTACTCAGGGACACAGAATTGTTACTCAGGGACACAGAACTGTTACTCAGGGACACAGAATTGTTACTCAGGGGACACAGAATTGTTACTGAGGGACACAGAATTGTTACTGAGGGACACAGAATTGTTACTGAGGGACACAGAATTGTTACTGACAGGGACACAGAATTGTTACTCAGGGACACAGAATTGGGACACAGAATTGTTACTCAGGGACACAGAATTGTTACTCAGGGACACAGAATTGTTACTCAGGGACACAGAATTGTTACTCAGGGACAGACACAGAATTGTTACTGAGGGACACAGAATTGTTACTGAGGGACACAGAATTGTTACTCAGGGACAGACACAGAATTGTTACTGACTGAGGGACACAGAATTGTTACTGAGGGACACAGAAATTGTTACTCAGGGACACAGAATTGTTACTCAGGGGACACAGAATTGTTACTCAGGGACACAGAATTGTTACTCAGGGACACAGAATTGTTACTCAGGGGAGGGACACAGAATTGTTACTGAGGGACACAGAATTGTTACTGAGGGACACAGAATTGTTACTCAGGGACAGACACAGAATTGTTACTGAGGGACACAGAATTGTTACTGAGGGACACAGAATTGTTACTCAGGGACACAGAATTGTTACTCAGGGACAGACACAGAATTGTTACTCAGGGACACAGAATTGTTACTCAGGGACACAGAATTGTTACTCAGGGACAGACACAGAATTGTTACTCAGGGACACAGAATTGTTACTCAGGGACACAGAATTGTTACTCAGGGACACAGAATTGTTACTCAGGGACAGACACAGAATTGTTACTCAGGGGACACAGAATTGTTACTCAGGGACACAGAATTGTTACTCAGGGACACAGAATTGTTACTCTGGGACACAGAATTGTTACTCAGGGACACAGAATTGTTACTCAGGGACACAGGGTTACAGACACAGAATTGTTACTCAGGGACACAGACACAGAATTGTTACTCAGGGACACAGAATTGTTACTCAGGGACACAGAATTGTTACTCAGGGGACACAGAATTGTTACTGAGGGACACAGAATTGTTACTGAGGGACACAGAATTGTTACTGAGGGACACAGAAATTGTTACTCAGGGACAGACAGACAGAATTGTTACTCAGGGACACAGAATCGTTACTCAGGGACACAGAATCGTTGAATTAAAGAGTAATGTCAGACAACACGCAGAGGAGTGGCAGAGGAGGCAATGTTTCAGGAGCGAGCAGACGTGGCAGCAGAGGAAGGGGTCGAGGCAGCACTAGTCGCAGCCAGAGGCCAGTGCTCCCGGTGTCATCCGGCGCGGTCGTGTCTCCACCGACAACCCTGCCGTCATCGATTGGTTGGCTCGGTCGTCTTCCTCTTCCCAGGTCACCTCTGACACCTACAGCCAACGGTTCGGTGGGTACGTCAGACACAACCGTTAGTTGGCATGGCCCGGGAGCAAGCCCACTGAAATCACGTGTCCTCTCTACCTGCCCCTGTCCTTTGGTGTTCCCTCACCAAGCGAAGTATCGCATGCTGTGGGCTCAGCCCCACTGTACAGTGAGGGAAGAGCTAACAGAGGGCGGTCAGGAACGGGGGGAGACATCCGCCTTTTCAGCAGCCAGGCGAAGAAGTACTGGCGAGGAGAGTGGCTCGGTAGCCGGTCTAGAGACAGGTCTGTCTCCTGACCCACACGCAGCCGAGGGGGCTAGTAGTGAGGCGGAGACCCTAATTGATGATGATGAGGCTGATCGCACTTGGCAGCCTCGTCGTCATCAGGCTATTGCTTCCGCATCATCAGGAGAAGAGGGTGCCAGCTTGGCAGCGAGCAAAACAGTCGGTGGGTTGCCCAGGAGGCAGCAGGGTCGCAGCAGTGTCAGTGGAGGCAAACGGCCACGGAGTAGAGCACCAGCTCCACTGCAGCCTACCACCCACGGCCAGTAGTGGTGCCGGTGTGCACGGAGGAAGTAGCAGTCAGCCAGTGAGGAGTAGCGGGGGCAAAAGTTTCCTCCTACTCGGCGGTGTGGCAATTTTTCGTCAAGCCGCCCGAGAAGTAAACGTAGCCGTATGTCGACTATGTGGCCAGAAAGTCAAGCGTGGCCAGGGGGCCCATGTCTCCATCGCCACACTCTGCCATGTGCCACTTTCAGGTCTCCTCACACTGCTGGTGGGTTCCATTTTGTCATAGGGTGCTGGCAGATTACGGGCCTCCCATTGCTGCTGCCAGGCCCGTAATCTGCCATGGGCCCCCTGTACCGCCTCCTCATGCTGCTGCCAGGCCCCGTAATCTGTCATGGGTCCCTGTACGGCCTCCCATTGCTGCTGTCTCCATCGCCACACTCTGCCATGTGCCACTTTCAGGTCTCCTCACACTGCTGGTGGGTTCCATTTTGTCATAGGGTGCTGGCAGATTACGGGCCTCCCATTTGCTGCTGCCAGGCCCGTAATCTGCCATGGGCCCCTGTACCGCCTCCTCATGCTGCTGCCAGGTCCAGAGTCTGTCATGGGTCCCTGTACGGCCTCCCATTGCTGCTGTCTCCATCGCCACACTCTGCCATGTGCCACTTTCAGGTCTCCTCACACTGCTGGTGGGTTCCATTTTGTCATAGGGTGCTGGCAGATTACGGGCCTCCCATTGCTGCTGCCAGGCCCGTAATCTGCCATGGGCCCCTGTACCCGCCTCCTCATGCTGCTGCCAGGCCCAGTAAGTGTGTCATGGGTCCCTGTACGGCCTCCCATTGCTGCTGTCTCCATCGCCACACTCTGCCATGTGCCACTTTCAGGTCTCCTCACACTGCTGGTGGGTTCCATTTTGTCATAGGGTGCTGGCAGATTACGGGCCTCCCATTGCTGCTGCCAGGCTGCTGCCAGGCCCCCGTAATCTGCCATGGGCCCCTGTACCACCGCCCGCCTCCTCATGCTGCTGCCAGGTCCAGAGTGTGTCATGGGTCCCTGTACGGCCTCCCATTTGCTGCTGTCTCCATCGCCACACTCTGCCATGTGCCACTTTCAGGTCTCCTCACACTGCTGGTGGGTTCCATTTTGTCATAGGGTGCTGGCAGATTACGGGCCTCCCATTGCTGCTGCCAGGCCCGTAATCTGTCATGGGCCCCTGTACCGCCTCCTCATGCTGCTGCCAGGTCCCGTAATCTGTCATGGGTCCCTGTACGGCCTCCCATTGCTGCTGTCTCCATCGCCACACTCTGCCATGTGCCACTTTCAGGTCTCCTCACACTGCTGGTGGGTTCCATTTTGTCATAGGGTGCTGGCAGCGTAATTACGGGCCTCCCATGCTGCTTGCTGCTGCCAGGCCCGTAATCTGTCATGGGCCCCTGTAACTGTCATGGGCCTCCTCATGCTCCCATTGCTGCTGCCAGGCCCGTAATCTGTCATGGGGGTCCCTGTACGGCCCTCCCATTGCTGCTGTCTCCATCGCCACACTCTGCCATGTGCCACTTTCAGGTCTCCTCACACTGCTGGTGGGTTCCATTTTGTCATAGGGTGCTGGCAGATTACGGGCCTCCCATTGCTGCTGCCAGGCCCGTAATCTGTCATGGGCCCCTGTACCGCCTCCTCATGCTGCTGCTGCCAGGTCCAGAAGTCTGTCATGGGTCCCTGTACGGCCTCCCATTGCTGCTGTCTCCATCGCCACACTCTGCCATGTGCCACTTTCAGGTCTCCTCACACTGCTGGTGGGTTCCATTTTGTCATAGGGTGCTGGCAGATTACGGGCCTCCCATTGCTGCTGCCAGGCCCGTAATCTGCCATGGGCCCCTGTACCGCCTCCTCATGCTGCTGCCAGGCCCGTAATCTGTCATGGGTCCCTGTCTCATGGGTCCCGGTACCTCCCATTGCTGCTGTCTCCATCGCCACACTCTGCCATGTGCCACTTTCAGGTCTCCTCACACTGCTGGTGGGTTCCATTTTGTCATAGGGTGCTGGCAGATTACGGGCCTCCCATTGCTGCTGCCAGGCCCGTAATCTCCATGTACCCCCCCCGTATCTGCCCGACTCCTCTGCTGCCATGGCCCGTAATCTGTCCCCCTGTACACTGCTGGTGAGGGTTCCATGCCTCCCATGCTGCTGCCAGGTCCAGAGTGTCTCATGGGTCCCTGTACGGCCTCCCATTGCTGCTGTCTCCATCGCCACACTCTGCCATGTGCCACTTTCAGGTCTCCTCACACTGCTGGTGGGTTCCATTTTGTCATAGGGTGCTGGCAGATTACGGGCCTCCCATTGCTGCTGCCAGGCCCGTAATCTGCCATGGGCCCCCGTACCGCCTCCTCATGCTGCTGCCAGGTCCAGAGTCTCTCATGGGTCCCTGTACGGCCTCCCATTGCTGCTGTCTGTCCCATCTCCATCGCCACACTCTGCCATGTGCCACTTTCAGGTCTCCTCACACTGCTGCTGGTGGGTTCCATTTTGTCATAGGGTGCTGGCAGATTACGGGCCTCCCATTGCATTGCTGCTGCCAGGCCCGTAATCTGCCATGGGCCCCCGTACCGCCTCCTCATGCTGCTGCCAGGCCCGTAATCTGTCATGGGCCCCTGTACCGCCTCCTCATGCTGCTGCCAGGTGTCATGTGTCATGGGTCCCTGTACGGCCTCCCATTGCTTGCTGCTGTCTCCATCGCCACACTCTGCCATGTGCCACTTTCAGGTCTCCTCACACTGCTGGTGGGTTCCATTTTGTCATAGGGTGCTGCTGCAGATTACGGGCCTCCTCCCATTGCTGCTGCCAGGCCCGTAATCTGTCATGGGCCCCTGTACCGCCACTCCTCATGCTGCTGCCAGGTGCCCGTAATCTGTCATGGGTCCCTGTACGGCCTCCCATTGCTGCTGTCTCCATCGCCCACACTCTGCCATGTGCCACTTTCAGGTCTCCTCACACTGCTGGTGGGTTCCATTTTGTCATAGGGTGCTGGCAGATTACGGGCCTCCCATTGCTGCTGCCAGGCCCCGTAATCTGCCATGGGCCCCTGTACCGCCTCCTCATGCTGCTGCCAGCCCGTAATCTGTCATGGGTCCCTGTACGGCCTCCCATTGCTGCTGTCCATCGCCACACTCTGCCATGTGCCACTTTCAGGTCTCCTCACACTGGTGGGTTCCATGGGTCCCCATTTGCTGCTGTAGGGTGCTGGGCAGATTACGGGCCTCCCATTGCTGCTGCCAGGCCCGTAATCTGCCATGGGCCCCCGTACCGCCTCCTCATGCTGCTGCCAAGTCCAGAGTGTCTCATGGGTCCCTGTACGGCCTCCCATTGCTGCTGTCTCCATCGCCACACTCTGCCATGTGCCACTTTCAGGTCTCCTCACACTGCTGGTGGGTTCCATTTTGTCATAGGGTGCTGGCAGATTACGGGCCTCCCATTGCTGCTGCCAGGCCCGTAATCTGCCATGGGCCCCCGTACCGACTCCTCATGCTGCTGCCAGGCCCGTAATCTGTCATGGGCCCCTGTACCGCCTCCTCATGCTGCTGCCAGGTTCAGAGTGTCTCATGGGTCCCTGTACGGCCTCCCATTGCTGCTGTCTCCATCGCCACACTCTGCCATGTGCCACTTTCAGGTCTCCTCACACACTGCTGGTGGGTTCCATTTTGTCATAGGGTGCTGTATGGCCTCCTCCATTGCTGCTGCCTCCACCGCCACACTGTGGCTCCACACTCTGGTTTTGGCCCCGTGACTGCCCAAATGAGTGAAGTGTGCGGTGATTCTAAGATTGACGGCACTCATCTGCATGTCATACTGACTGACAGTATTATTTCTCTTCCCCAGCAGACTCCGTGGGCATTTAAATTAAAGGTACAGTGTTCTGCACTAATATAAAGGCTCTCTGAAGCCTAGAAACACCCTTTTTATAAGTTAAATTCGCAGCGAATATATTCGCCTCGAATCGAATTTATTCCTCGAATTCGCCGAATCAGCCGAATCGATTTTTGAATACTTCGCTCATCTCTAATTATTACCTCAAACTTTAATTAAACCTTTTGTGTACTCAACTTCTTCATCTTCTATTATATAAGCCGACCCTTCTTCGTAGATTAGACCTCCACTGAAGTCTTCCAGCTGTCTACATTCTCAGCACCAACTGACCTCCCTGGTAAGTATACGCTGGAATATCTTTATTATATTATTCATCCTATTATAATTATTTATAAGGAAAGAATCCTCGGTATTCAGCTTTCAGGTAAAGTATAAATGGCTCCTCTGTTTTATTTTAATTTTAAAAGCTGCTAAGGTTCCTCCTATTATTTTTCCATAATGATTTATTTCGCAAAATGAATGTGAAAATTCAAATTGATTCACAAAATTCAAAACGGAGAATATTAAAAGTGGCCAACCTAGAATTAAACCGGCTATTTTACGCATTTCCCAATCATTATTGTACGATTATTAAAAGCATAATGAAGCAAGTCAGAGAAATTTTATCGTTGTGCCCAGAAAACAATTTTTCTGATTTTTTACAATTTTGATAAACCTTTTATTAAACTCTAAATTCTAAATATCTTTCCCTTATTAGGAAATATTATTGATATGCTAATATACAATATTTATACTTAAAATATTGCAAATAATAAATTTAAAATTATATAATAATTTAATATCACTTTAAATACAATAAAGTCCAAGTATTATCCCAAATGAATGGAAGCATATGCATACAAGGAAAAGTTTGATCCAAAAAGCCGTCACCATACACCCAAACAGATTGGCCTCTTACCAGACAATTTGACCGCTCAAAGGTCGGTCAACATGCGCAGCGTGATATAACATCAGTACAGCAATCGATCCTCAGTAGAGATCCCCACCAGAATAGTAAGTAACGTCTTCACCTTCAATAAACCTCCAAACGGTAGAAACTCCCGTCCGATGGTCAGGGAATGAATAAAGAGGAAAGAAAACTCGTAGTGTAGTATTTAAAATCGAATTCAATACATTTATTTAGGTTCCACGTACATCAGTGAATAAGACAACCAGCATGGTAAAACAGGATGTTTCTAACTGACAAAGATGGCCACCGTCCCTCCAGAGCGCAACGACGTCACATGGCGAGGCTCCACCCCATACTTAACCATTTGCCTACAGGGCATACCCCCCTTCCTGCCCAAGCCAATTTTCAGCTTTCAGCGCTGTCGCACTTTGAATGACAATTGCCCGGTCATGCAACACTGTACCCATATGAAATTTTTTAGCATTTTTTTTAAACAGATAAATCTTTATTTTGGTGTTATTTATTCACCACTGGGATTTTTATTTTTTGCAAAATAAACCAAAAACAACTGAAAATTTAAAAAAAAAAATTTTTTTTCTTAGTTTCTGCTTTAAAATTTTGTAAATACGTGATTTTTTTTCTCCTTGATGTGCGCTAATGAGGCTGCACTGATAGGCTGCACTGATGGACACTGATAGGAGGCACTGATGGGCACTGATGAGGAGGCATTGGTAGGTGGCACTGATGGGCATTGACAGGCATCACTGATGGGCAACGAAAGGCAGCACTCATATTTGGCACTGATAGGCTGCACTGAAGGGCACTGATAGGTGGCACTGATGGGCACTGATGAGGAGGCACTGGTAGGGGGCACTGATGGGTATTGACAGGCATCACTGATGGGCACCGAAAGGCAGCATTCATATATGGCACTGATAGGCGGCACTGACTGACACTGATAGGTGGCACTGACTGGCACTGTTAGGCGGCACTGATAGGCGGCACTGATGCGCACTGATATGTGGCATTGATGTGGCAATGATGGACACTGACAGGTGACATTGATGGGAACTGACAAGCGGCACTGCTGGGGCTACACTGATCATCAGGGGACACTGATCATCAGTGTCCTGATCATCAGTGTACATGTCCCCTCTGAGGAATGCCAATTACCGGCTCTTCTCTCCTCACGAGCTGTCAGCGGGAGGAGAGGAATGCCGATAACCGGCATTTCCTTATTACATATGACGTCCTCCTAAAATGAGAGAACCCCCTTGCGCCCGTCATTACCTTATATGGCAGGTGGGAGGTGGTTCAAATATTGTTCTTTCATATATTTATGCCCTTATTAGGAGATAGTACAGTAGAAAGCTAGCATTCATAAATTATATTCCTTATATTGATCGATTATTTTCACATAATTTCAATGGTCTCCTTCACTCCAAACCTGGAACAACTTCTAATCACAGAAACCATTATCTGGGGACTCTCCTCATTCATACAAGAAAAACCCTCTAGAAACCATTAGTCCAGTTTGTAAAGAAGATAACTATAAATTGATTTTCAATCTAATATCCTTTAGTAATGGTTGAGTGAGGAGTAGAGTGGGAAGACCAGGTGAGGCAAGAGGCATCAACGTTTAAGATAGAGGGTCCTGGAAACCGTAGACAATGGAAATTGGGCTTCGGTTCTTGTGAACCAACTCCAATGACGTCTAAGAACCTCCTTTTATCTGATTAAGGAAAAAGATAGATGAAGACCCCTTAATCATTTTTTAATCCCTGAGGAACCAGATCCAATAAGGTCTAAAAGGCATCAAGCAAATCCATGTCATTTTAAAACACTCTACCTGCCCATAATGGGCTCCAGGTCTTCGTGATCTTTATTCTGAAACCATTAGTTCAGTTTGTAAAGAAGATAACTATAAATTGATTTTCAATCTAATATCCTTTAGTAATGCTTGAGTGAGGAGTAGAGTGGGAAGCCCAGGTGAGGCAAGAGGTATCTCATTTAGGATAGAAAGTCCTGGAGACCATAGACAATGGAGCTTTTGCTCCAGCTACTACAGCTCCAGTTTTAGCAGTTCCTCTGCATTGCACTCTGTTTGATGTTCTGGGATGGCGGGTCAGCAAGCCCACATCGCAATCTACCAGTCACCTGGCCAAGATCTACTGGTTGCTGACCCCCTCTATAGAAAATGGAGATTGGAACTTCTGTTCTTGTGAACCAGCTCCAATGGAATCTAAGAACCTGCTGTGCTCTTCCTTTTGTGGGATTGAGGAACAAGATAGATGAAGACCCCCTTAGTCATTGTGCTATCCGGGGAACCAGATTGTCAGGGCAGGGCTGTGGAACGGACAGGTAGGCCTAGTGGCAGGGTAACGCACTGGCTGACGACAAGCACCACCAACAGACCGAAGTCCCTCAGGGCGCGGAGTCTAAGTCCCAGGCTGCCCTTCACCAGGGCCCCTGATGGTGGGGATGGACTTGACGCAGCCAGGAACCAGGTCACGGCCCCCGAGACACCCCGGCTGCGGTAATGGCCGCCGCCAATGGCGTGTAGCTGGTGAGAATGACAATAGCGTAGTCAGGCAAGCTGGGTCAACAACAACGGGACAAAACAGTACAGAACAGTAGACAGAGAATCACAGGTCACGGGCCGGGTTCAGCAACGGAAGGTCAGATCGAAGGAAAACACAGAGAATGGTCTAGTCACAAGCCGAGTCAAATACCAGAAGAGTCACGAGCATATACACAGAGCTGTAGCAAGACAAAGACACAAGACACAAGTGCAAAGAGCATGTGCGGATCACAGGCTTATATGTACTCAGCCACACCCCTCTGGGGGATGGACCTCAGAGACCTGAAGGCATAAAAGCTTCCCACCATGCTCAGCATAAATCCAAGATGGATGCCAGCACATGGAGTAACATAACCTCTGGGAAAAGGTAGGACCTTGACACAGATCCAGTAAGGTCTGGGAAGCATCAAGCAAATCCATGTCATTAAAAAAAGCTCTACAAACTCTACCTGCCCATAATGGGCTCCAGGTCTTCGTGATCTTTTTTCTGAAACCATTAGTTCAGTTTGTAAAGAAGATAACTATAAATTGATTTTCAATCTGATATCATTTAGTAATGCTTGAGTGAGGAGTAGAGTGGGAAGCCCGGGCGAGGCAAGAGGCATCTCATTTAGGATAGAAAGTCCTGGAGACCATAGACAATGGATTTCTGCATTGCACTTAGTCATTGTGTTATCCATGGGGAACCAGGTCCAACAAGGTCTGGAAATCATCAAGCAAATCCATGTTATAAAAAAAAACCTCAACCTTCCCGTAATGGGCTCCAGGTGTACGGGATCTTTTCTGATGATTTAGACCACAGGTGTCAAACACAAGGCCCATGGGCCGAATCCGGCTCTCCGGGCCATTTCATGTGGCCCTTGCACCTCTCCTGCAGGTACCCTCTTGTCTCAGCCCCCACCTTGTCTCAGCAGTCAGCAGCAGAGAGGAGAACAGAACTCCTCTGCCAAATCCTGCACCTCTCAGTGCAGCTGCAGCACCCCCTCATCTCTGCCTCCCCTGGTCTCAGCATTCAGCAGACTCTGGTAACTGACTCCACTCCTCCTCTGGTCTTCCTCCAGACCCTGCACTTTCTGCTTTCCAACTCTGCCCCCAAAGGGGGTGTACGGTGATGTTAGGGAGGGTGTGGGATTCTTGACATCTGATGTAATGGGGGTGGGGTGCTCTGGACATCTAGTCTACCAGATACAACTGGCCCTTTGAGGGCAACCACAATGCTGATACGGCCTGCATGGAATGGAGTTTGACATCCCTGATTTAGGCTATTGTATTGGAACAACCATTTTATGTGTGCCTAACACTTGGGGGCCTTATGATGTTTTTGAGTCACATTTTTCCTTTTGCCTTCTTTTTCTTTCCATGTGATCCACAGAGCCCAAAGATGTTCACCTTGAAGAAATCCCTGTTACTCCTTTTATTTCTTGGGATCGTCTCCTTGTCTCTCTGCAAGCAAGAGTAAGTATGAAGAAAACATTTTTTATTTAATTATAGACTTTTAAAGCTTAACTCCAGGCAAAACAGTAAAACATATCGGTGAAATACATACAGTCTATGAGAATTGTGTTTTACCTAGCAAATCATTTTTATGTCTGTTTATTCAGTCCTGGGATTTGCACAGCTCTGCCACACAGCACAGTCCTGTGCAAGGGGACCTGATTTTTTTCTGCTACAGTTAGGTTTCAGGTCTTGCCCCTCCCCCAGCCTTTGACTGGATAGTGAAAAGAGAAGCAGCAAACTGATGACGCATCTCTCTGCCACTCCGCTCTCTCCTTCTATCAACATGCTCTTTGTATTGCTTCTCCTCGTCTGAACTCTGCTGTACATGGGACTGCAAGAGGCTGATACCAGGTCATGTTCTGGGGTGCATTATTGTATATATGTTTAGGTGCCTGGAGTTCATCTTTAAAGTGTACTGGGGCTTTTACAGAGGTTAAAACACATATTGGATTTTAAAAATGCATATTAGTAGGACAGTAAGTGAGGTTGGGGGGGGGGGGGGGGGATCTCTATGACTGTAACAGCAATATAAACCTGACAGAGTTTCTAATACTAGAATTACATAAAGCAGTGCCAGACCAAAACCAGATCAAAGGTCCAAGACAATTCTAATTGTTGGTAAATAGGTCATATAAAATGGCCAACATGTTTCATGGACAATACTCCACCTTCATCAGGGCTCAGTGTTACTAAACCCTGGACTCTGCATTCACTATATCCGCTCTCCCCGGACCCCGCATTCACTATATCCGCTCTCCCTGGACCCTGCATTCACTATATCCGGTCTCCCCGGACCCCGCATTCACCACTATATCCGCTCTCCCCCGGACCCTGCATTCACTATATCCGCTCTCCCCGGACCCTGCATTCACTATATCCGCTCTCCCCGGACCCTGCATTCACTATATCCGCTCTCCCCGGACCCCGCATTCACCACTATATCCGCTCTCCCCGGACCCTGCATTCACTATATCCGCTCTCCCCGGACCCTGCATTCACTATATCCGCTCTCCCTGGACCCCGCATTCACTATATCCGCTCTCCCCGGACCCCCCATTCACTATATCCGCTGTCCCCGGACCCCGCATTCACTATATCCGCACTCCCCGGACCCCGCATTCACTATATCCGCACTCCCCGGACCCCGCATTCACTATATCCGCTCTCCACGGACCCTGCATTCACTATATCCGCTCTCCCCAGACCCCGCATTCACTATATCCGCACTCCCCGGACCCCGCATTCACTATATCCGCTCTCCACGGACCCCGAATTCACTATATCCGCTCTCTCCCGGACCCCCCATTCACTATATCCGCTCTCCCCGGACCCCGCATTCACTATATCTGCTCTCCCTGGACCCCCCATTAACTATATCCGATCTCCCTGGACCCTGCATTCACTATATCTGCTCTCCCTGGACCCTGCATTCACTATATCCGATCTCCCCGGACCCTGCATTCACCACTATATACCCGCTCTCCCTGGACCCTGCATTCACTATATCCGGTCTCCCTGGACCCTGCATTCACTACATCCGGTCTCCCCGGACCCTGCATTCACTATATCCGCTCTCCCCGGACCCCGCATTCACTATATCCGCTCTCCCCAGACCCTATATTCACTATATCCGCTCTCCTCGGACCCTGCATTCACTATATCCACTCTCCCCGAACCCTGCTTTCACTATATATATCCACTCTCCCCGGATCCTGCATTCACTATATCCGGTCTCCCCGGACCCCGCATTCATTATATCCGCTCTCCCCTGACCCCGCATTCACTATATCCGCTCTCCCTGGACCCCACATTCACTATACCAGTTCTCCCCGGACCCCGCATTCACTATATCCGCTCTCCCTGGACTCTGCATTCACTATATCCGGTCTCCCCGGACTCCGCATTCACTATATCCGCTCTTCTCGGACCCCGCTTTCACTATATCCGCTCTCCTCGGACCCTGCATTCACTATATCTGCTCTCCACGGACACTGCATTCACTATATCTGCTCTCCACGGACACTGCATTCACTATATCTGCTCTCCTCGGACCCCGCATTCACTATATCCGCTCTCCCCGGACCCTGCATTCTCTATATCTGCTCTCCCTAAACCCTGCATTCACTATATCTGGTCTCCCCAGACCCTGCTTTTACTATATCTGCTCTCCATGGAACCTGCATTCACTATTTAATGATTCCTGTGTCCTCCCTCAGGAGAGATGCCGATGAAGACGAAAATGAAGAAAATGGAGGGTAAGCTAAAATGGAAAATGTAAAAAGAGCGGGACAGATGAGAATGGTCAGAGTCCCACCTGGGTTCACCCCATTTCGTGTCGCACCAGAAATCGTTTAATTGCGATGTGGAAGTCGTCTGATGTGGAATATCATTTAGCTAAATGCTCAATGTCTGATAAAAAATAAACATGTCGCATCTATAATTCCTCTCCGTGATTATTTAAGTAACGTGAGCCATAATGGTCACCCCATATGAAAGAGAAAAATATATTTGAAATATATTTGAATAATATTCTTCCCAAATATATTGACATATATTTGAAATGCTACAATGTTGGCCGTATTCAATATATTTCAAAATATATTTCAATAAATATATATATACTGCATGTTGAAATGCATTTTTATTACAAAATATATGAAAAAATATTTTTAAAAATACATTTAATATATTGTATGTCTTTAAAAATACAAATGTACATTTTTGGAATGCATTTACAAATACTGTATATGTAAAAATATATGTTAAAATGACTGTTTTATATGTTTAAAAAAATTTGAAGAATATATTTTTAAAAAAAATATATTTTTTAAATATTTTTCATATTTTCTTGTATATATATAAAAAAGGCATTTCAACATATTGGCCATATTCAATATTTATTTCAATAAATATAATAATATATATATATATATATATATATATATATATATATATATATATATATATATATACACACACACACACACACACACACACACACACACACACACATATATATATTTATTGAAATATGTTTTGAAATATTAGTGTCAATGGGAAGAATAGAGCCCCATCATTGGTGTCAATAGGAGGAATGTTGCCCCATTCTTGTTGTCAGTGGGAGAAATACAGCCCCGAGGGCTGTATAAAGGCCAGAAAAGATACACATCCAGATCCCGGGCTGCAGTTTGGAGACCACCCTTCTAAGATACAAAAGAAATCTTTTAAACACATCTGGTAATTAGTGTTGTTTTACTGAACAATTTCTGTGTCTTCTTCCAGGAGAAATGCAGATGAGGACCAAAATGAAGAAAATGGAGGGGAAACTAAAGTGGATGATGTAAAAAGATATTTCCCTTCCTTAGGGAAACGTCAACTTGTGTAATTTGAAAACAGGTTGAAACGTGACTTGTAAATCATCTGATGTGGAATATCATTTATCTAAATGCACAACAGATGTCTGATAAATAATAATCAATACTCATACATCGTGTTGTCTTCTGTTTTATTTATTTATTTACAATGTACAGTATATGATGAACATTGGTGACTCTAAGAAACAATGTATAGGGGGGTCACATAAGATACCACAGTCAAAACTTGGGGGGCAGTAATATATTTCACCACATAAAGAAACAAATGAAGTATATAGAAATAAGATGCCGGAATAGGAGAGTAATGCAATGATCCCTTTGTATTGTACTCACCGAACACTTGTCATAGACGAGCTCTTAAGAGTCCTCCTTTCTTCCTCTGGAATTGCTTCAGACCTGAGAAAGAGAAGGAAACTCTCCAAAACTTTTCTTTATAGTTTACAGCGATTTCAGGAAATGCCACTACAGTGTAAATACCCCCCCCCCCCCCCCCCCGCCATTGGTAAATATGTCACTAATGAAGACCAAGGAGCAGACCCGGAGTGTGTGTGTGTCCTCCTATCTACTACTAAGTACCATGGACTGATTTTACAAAGCCAACCACTTTCTACCTACTTCAGTATGAATAGAGTCTTTTTTTTGGAGGAGTGAAGGAGGTCAGAGACTGCAGACATACTACAGGAGATGGTCAGAGACTGCAGACATACTACAGGAGATGGTCAGAGACTGCAGACATACTACAGGAGATGGTCAGAGACTGCAGACATATTACAGGAGATGGTCAGAGACTGCAGACATATTACAGGAGATGGTCAGAGACTGCAATCATACTACAGAAGATGGTCAGAGACTGCAGACATATTACTGGAAATAGTCAGAGACTGCGGACATACTACAGGAAATGGTCAGAGACTGCAGACATACTACAGGAGATGGTCAGAGACTGCAAACATATTACAGGAAATGGTCAGAGACTGCAGACATATTACAGGAGATGGTCAGAGACTGCAGACATATTAGAGGAGATGGTCAGAGACTGCAAACATACTACAGGAGATGGTCAGAGACTGCAGACATGTTACAGGAAATAGTCAGAGACTGCGGACATACTACAGGAGATGGTCAGAGACGGCAGACATATTACAGGAGATGGTCAGAGACTGCAGACATATTACAGGAGATGGTCAGAGACTGCAGACATATTACAGGAGATGGTCAGAGACTGCAGACATACTACAGGTGATGGTCAGAGACTGCAGACATATTACAGGAAATGGTCAGAGACTGCAGACATATTACAGGAAATAGTCAGAGACTGTGGACATACTACAGGAAATGGCCAGAGACTGCAGACATATTACAGGAGGTGGTCAGAGGCCGCAGACTTACTATAGGACATGTCAGAGACTACAGACATATTACAGGAGGTGGTCATAGATTCTTTCTTGGATACACAGAATATAACTGGACACTAACATTTATTGGTAAAGTTTATCCAGGGAATATCCGAATGCCTCTCGGGGGATCAGAAAGGAATTTATTCACAGGTGCTGTCATTCACACCATCACTAGTCACCTTTGGGAATGTAGCCTACTTCAATGACCCCTGCTCTTAGCTCCAGCACTGAATCAGCCACTAAGCAGTGGAATGCACAGAGGTAGAGGGTGAAGCTTGCAGCAGCACACGGGCCCCACATGCCTACTGCTTGTCTGTAGTCTCAGCTCCCCTGCAGTCTCTCCCCTCTCCTGACATTCATTGACACCTTTACATCTTTCCTCACCTACCTTCAAAGTAAACCCTCCTGACATTATCCACCGCCAGCAGGTGCCTCATCAGTGTCCCCATGCATCAGGTGTCCCCATACATCAGTGTCTCCATCAGTATCCCCATTAGTGCCCCCATACATCAGGTGTCCCCATTGGTGTCCCTGTACATCAGGTGTCCCCATCAGTGTTCCATACATCAGTATCCCCATGCATCAGTGTCCCATACATCAGGTGTTCCTATACATCAGGTGTTCCCATACATCAGTGTCCCCATTAGTGCCCCCATACATTGGGTGTCCCCTTCAGTGTCCCCATACATCAGTGTCTCCATCAGTGTCCCCATACATCAGTGTCTCCATCAGTGTCCCCATTAGTGTCCCCATACATCAGGTGTCCCATACATTATTATCCCCATGTATCAGTGTCCCATACATCAGGTGTCCCCATATATCAGGTGTCCCCATACATCAGTCTCCCCAGTAGTGCCCCCATACATCAGGTGTCCCCATCAGTTTTCCATATATCAGTATCCCCATGCATCAGTGTCCCATACATCAGGTGTCCCCATACATCAGTGTCCCCATATACCAGGTGACTCCATACATCAGTGTCCCCATCCATCAGTGTCTCCATTAGTGTCCCCATACATCAGGTGTTACATTAGTGTCCCCATACATCCGGTGTCCCCATACATCAGGTGCCCCTATCAGTGTTCCATACATCATTATCCCTATGCATCAATGTCCCATACATCAGGTGTCCCATACATCAGATGTCCCTATCAGTGTTCCATACATCATTATCCCCATGCATCAATGTCCCATACATCAGGTGTTCCCATATATCAGGTGTTCCCACATCAGTGTCCCTTTCCTTCAGTGCCTCCACCAGTGTCCCTATACAAAAGTGTCCCCATTAGTGCCCACATATATCAGGTGTCCCCATTAGTGTCCCCATACATCAGGTGTCCCCATCAGTGTTCCATACTTCAGTATCCCCATGCCTCAGTGTCCCATACATAAGGTGTCCCCATACATCAGTGTCCCCATATACCAGGTGTCCCCATACATTAGTGTTCCCATCCATCAGTGTCTCCATTAGTGTCCCCATAAATCAGATGTCCCCATTAGTGTCTTCATATATCCGTGTCCACATCATTGTCCCCATACATCAGGTATCCCCATACATCAGATGTCCCCATCAGTGTCACCATTCATCAGTATCCCCATGCATCAGTGTCCCATACACCAGGTGTCCTCATACATCAGTGTCCCCATCCATCAGGTGCCCCCATCCAACAGCTGTCCTCATCAGTGTCCCCGTCCATCAGGTGTCCCCATCAGTGTCCTCATACATCATTGTCCCATACATCAGTGTCTCCATCAGTAGCCTCATACATCAATGTCCCATACATCACGTGTCCCCATCAATTTCCCCATTAGTGTTGGGCTCAATGTTCATTTTGACTCGAACATGGGCCGTTCATGTGTTTGCTGTACACACTAACACTAAGGGCGTTCAGCAGGCTGTTCGCCCATCAAGCGCCCCACAATGCATTGCACTCTCACAGTGCATTGTGACTGACCAAATCAATGCTTTGGCCAGTCACATGACAATGCACTGTGAGAGCCACGTCACTGTCGAAGACAAAGGGAGTATACTATCCCTAAAAAAAATATGATATTAAAAAAACAAATAAAAATAAAGCAAAAAATACATTAAAAAAAACAGTGTGTTGTCCCACCTAATCTATACTAGGCCCTTTAGGTCTGGTAGGTAGGTTAGGAGAGACCCCACAGTAATTTAGTTTTTTTTTAAATTTGCGTGGTGTTCCCCCTAAAAGCCATACCAGGCCCTTTAAGCCTGGTAGGACTTTGAAGGGGAACCACACCCCTCAAAAATGATGAGAAAAGATGCATGGTTGTCCCCCTAAAAGCCATACAAGGCCCTTTAAGCCTGGTAGGACTTTGAAGGGGAACCCCACCCCTCAAAAATGGGGGGG